CCCATACCTATTTAATTATTTTTGAAATAATAATTATCCCCCCCTTTTAACTTCTCCCACACCTATTTAATTATTTTGAAAATAATAATTATCCCTTAATTTATGGATTTTAAATGGAAATATAACAAAAATATTTCATAATCTCTGTTTTGAAATTTCTCTCATCGATTTCCAAAAGAAAATATTATAACTTGAATTTCTTTTCTCTCCCTCAAAAAATTAGATAATATTTTTTCCGAGAATTGTAGAAATCTATCTATATTTTATATATTATATTATAACATAATCTATATCTATCTATATCTATATATAAGGAAAAAGGGGTTTCTAACCCCTAAGTCTCGTGGGAGCTTTAATATCCTAATCTTAATTTTTAAAATTTTTAATTTTAAAAAAAAACTCAACATTTATTGATTTGGTCAAAATCTCCTAATTAGCATTTATTAATTTTTTCCAATTTATATACCTTTCCACATACCTGCATTATTGATTTGGTTAAAATTTTCTGATCAGCATTTATTACCTTTTTCCAATCTACATGTCTTTTGAGAGCTTTGGTCAAAATCCCTTCATACAAATAATTATAGATACAACCCGTGCATAGTTATTTTAGCACCCTTTTCAACTTCTCTCATACACTATGGTTAGTGATAAGATTGTTAGATTATTTTTATAAAAAATCTAAAAAAAAGAATTTGTATATTAAAAAAATTAAAACAAATATAAATATGTATAATTATCTTGTGCATAGCACGGGTGATAGGCTAGTATTATATAAGGAAAATGAGATTTTTAACTCATAAGCTTTGTAAAAGCTCTAATACCTCAATCTTAATTTCCTAATTTTTTGTTTTTTTTTAAATTTTTTTTAGCATTTATTGATTTTCCCAAGTCTTTTTGACTTCTCTCATATACATCATTTTCAACTTCTCACATACCTATTTAATTATTTTAAAAATAATAATTATCACCCATTTTCAACTTCTCCCACACCTATTTAATTATTTTGAAAATAATAATTATCCCCCCGTTTTAACTTCTCACACACCTATTTAATTATTTTGAAAATAATAATTATCCCTTAATTTATGGATTTTAAATGGAAAGATAAAAAAAAATATTTCATAATCTCTGCATTGAAATTTCTCTCATCGATTTCCAAAAGAAAATATTATAACTTGAATTTCTTTTCTTTCCCTCAAAAAATCAGATAATATTTTTCATGAGAATTGTAGAAATTTATCTATATCTTATATATTATATTATTACATAACCCAAAAACTAAAAATAAATATCAGATATACAAATAGATAAAATTAATAAATATGATTTTTATTTATTCAGTTGAAATCTTTCTTTTGCCTCTCAATATCCTATTTTAAATTTTAAAAATCTTTAAAATCTATCTAAACAAATCTAATTTGAAAATATCTCACACTATCATACTTTAAATGAATAAAACTCACATCATAACTTACCTAAATAATTATAATTAAAAATAAATAGAAACTATAGATAAATTAAATTAAAAAAATAGAAATCCACAACTCCATCTTAAATAAATTGAAAAAAAATAGAAACCACACAAAAATAAATAAGATAAGAATTTAGATATAGATCTCAAAAAGATATGACAATATCAAAATTTGAATTATAATTTAATAATATAATTATCTATTTTTTTTATATATATCTATCAAAATTCTAAATCACTTCATGAGACAAATTAATCAATTTTTAAGTCTTATTTGAAGAATAATTTGATTAGTCATCCCAACTCCTAGACTTCGCAGGCACTGACGGAGGAGCTGACGGATTAGGTGTGGTGAAGACTAAGTTGTAGGGGGGAATATTATATCACTCCATAAATTTTTTTGTTCTGTAATTTTACTTTTTTTCCTGTGTGATTCTCTTTCTCTGTTGTTGGTTTGGTTTTGGTTTCAGTTTCGATTTTAGTGAGATTTATGAGAAGAAAATTAATCAAATTATACATTTCAACTAATTACATACTCAAACTTTCACTATTTCAAGATGTTATTTCACTATAATTCTAATTAAGAAAATCTTCAACCATTAATATTTTTTTTATCGAATTATAATTTGATAAAAATTTAAAAAGATGAAGCGTTATTTTTTTCATCAAAATTGATGAAAAGAAAAAAAAAAATTGGGATAAGAATGAAAGTTCTTTTAAAAATTGATAATAATTTAATGAAAAAGTTAATGTAATTCATAGCAAAATTTAAAATCAAATTAGATTAAAAAAAATTAAAAGAAAATGATGAAAGGTTGGAAATATTCTAAAACTTTTTTATTTTTAAAGACTAGAAATTCGTGTGTTATATTCATATTGTATTTTTAGTTATGAAATTAAAATCAAAAGAAATGTAACTTAAATTATTGGATTAATAACAGAAACATCATATCAATTATTGTTAAATATCACTTCACTTCACATTTAATAATAAAATTGTATATTTGTCTTTATTATAATTTTTAAATTTATCTATTTTTATAACAAGAAGAGGTATATCATAACTCATATAACCTCATTTAATTAGGCTTAACTTTTTTTTTAATTACAATTTATCAAAATTGCACTAAATAGATTTACAACAATGATTGAGACCCCATTTTTTGGGGACCCGCATAAGCCCATTTGAATCTCAATTATTGATGGTGTAGACCTTACACATACATGAGTAGGTCTTACACATACATGAGTAGGTCCTACACATACATGAGTGGGTGAAATCCAAAGGGGTTGTGGGGGTCCCAAGCATTTTTGATAGACATATATATATTTTTGTTTTTTTAAAGTACTAATTAAAAAAGTTATAGATATAAAAATTAACTTATAAATTTTATATATTCCACAAGATAAAATATTAAATTACTTCAACATATTTATAATGATTTGTTTTTTAATTTATAAAGTTCCGTGCATAGCACGAGTTACCACTAGTTATATAGCATAAAAAAGTCAGGTATTGAAATTTGCCTAAAATACGAATTACTTTCAGTAACTTTAAAAATTGTAAATACTCTATTGTTAGAATTTTTTGTTAATTAAAATATGTGATATCATCAAAAATTATTAATTGATTAAATAATTTATTAATAAAATAAATAATTTATTATGTAATTAAAATTTAAAGAGAGGCGATTTAATTTTTAAAACTATACGAGATATATTTTAAGCAAATATCGATATATATTTATAATTTATCTTTATAACAAATAAAAAAAAAATTTATATAAATATAATTTATCGAATATTTAAATATCAAGTGTATGTATGACCACTGCAGTGGCGCAGGGTTGAATGATCTCATAATCGGTGATCGGATTAATGTCCCTAGCCAGGAGGGGAGCGTTGTTTTGGGTATTGTTTATTTCTTTATTTTTTTATTTAGGTTTATTTGGGATGGTAATATATTTTGTAAATTAAAAATATTAGAGATCTCAAAAATTTTATTAAATATTTTACATGGGTGTGAGATTTACATGAGACTCACATTGTGTGGTACACTTATGTAAGACATTTGATAAAATTTTTAGTAGAATATTTGGAGTTTCTAGCATTACTCTTTATAAATTTTTATGAGAAGATATGTAATATAATAAAGATATGATGTAATTCAAATAAATAACTGTAACTTTAATAAGATGTAAAGATAAGAGGATGTGTTAAAGTAACACATGTCAAACAATTTCTTATGAAAAAATATATTGCCCCGTTTGTTAGAACTGTAAAAAAGTGATTATAAATTATATCTTAACAGATTATGACTTATAGCTATGAATATAAGCTGTTAACCTGTTTGGTGCAGCTGTGAGATTATGGATTTAAGCAGCAGAATAGTATTTGGTTAATAAGTTGTAAAATAACTTTTTACTGTATAATTGTCCTCTTTACCCTTATATGATATAAAAATTATTATTTTGTCATTTTTTTCAGTTTTAATTTAAAAAAAATATTTCATTAATAAAAGTTAATATAATTAGTATTGATTAGTATCAATTAATATAAAAAGTGATCCATTTGCTAAAATGTAATGGAAGTATTATTGTCACAATTATTTTCTATTATAAATTAATTAGTATCAATTAATTGCTTAATTAGTATCAATTAATACTAAAATTATTAATTAGTATCAATTAATGGCTTAATAAGTCTCAATTAATACTAAAATTATTAATTAGTATCAATTAATGGCTTAATTAGTCTCAATTAATACTAAAATTATTAATTAGTATCAATTAATGGCTTAATTAGTCTCAATTAATACTAAAATTATTAATTAGTATCAATTAATGGCTTAATTAGTCTCAATTAATACTAAAATTATTAATTAGTATCAATTAATGGCTTAATAAGTCTCAATTAATACTAAAATTATTAATTAGTATTTTTTATTTTTTAATTAATATAAAAATATACAATATGAATTTATTAATAATTAATACCAATTAATATTGATTTTTTTCTTTTTCTTCATAAATATACAATTTTTTATTTTTTAATTAATATAAAAATATACAATATGAATTTATTAATAATTAATACCAATTAATATTTATTTTTCAATTAATATTGATTTTTTTATTTTTCTTCAGAAATATACAATTTTTATTTTTTTAATTAATATTAATTAATATTAATATTTGGGTATTGACAAGGGCATTTAAGTAATTTTAGGCCCCCGCACCAGCTGTGTACTGAAGTAAAAAATTTAAGCACCCCCTGACCATCTTTTGAGATAAGCTGAGAAATAGCTTGATTTAAGTTATAAGTTGATTAATTTAAACTGCACCAAATATAATATTTTAACTTAAATTAAGTTAAAAATTTAAATAAACAGCTTATAAACTCTACTAAACATGCCTATGGAAATAAAGATGGTGTAATAGATATATAAGTTAATAAATAATAATTGTACCAAAAATTGGGTCTGGAAGTAGCAAAAACATACCTGAACAAAGTCAGTCGGTTCACATCCCCAAGAAAAAACAACCAAACAAAGCATAAAAAAGTGGCAGTGAAGCCCTAAACGGCGAAGAAGTCTGTTCGGCAACGCAAGTTACGCAACCAACTTTCACAGTGAAATTGGTGTGACTTCTCTCTTTCTCTCTCTTCTGGGCTTCACTTCAATCATGGCTGAACAAAGTGCCGAGTCGCTAGAGCCCCAACTCGAAGCGCATCAACCTCCAGCTCCCTCCAACAGTAGTAAGCCCTCATCTCTATATTCTGTTTCTACTAATCGATTTGTTTGATTGCTGAGAAAATACTAGATAAGAAAATGAAAGAAATTCATGGATCTAATGTCGTAAGTTATTTTCTTGGTGCCGAAACTAGCCGGACTAGTATTTTCTGTGTTGATGGAGTTTTGATTTTAGTACATTGTTTGTCTTTTAAATGTTTTATTTAGGATTTTTTGTTGGTTTGCTATGGTTTTGTTTATTTGTTTCTCGTTTTTGTTTGTGAAAATGGTGTTGGTATTGACTATGCTAGGGTTTATAATTTGATCGTCGTTTTGTAATGGCAGAGGTAGCTCAATATTATTTGAGGGTCAAAGCGAAAAATTTGAGGCCCTTTATAAGCAATAAGTTTTTAAATTGTGATTCTTATTTAAAATTAATTTCTCTAATTTTAGACGCAAAATTACTAATTTAGTTTTATATTCACGTTGTGGTAACATATCATTTTTAGTTGAAATTATAGCTCACCTGTTTAATCTTTTTTTTGTTTTTGTTGTTGTTGTTGTGACATAAGAATTTGTAAACAATGTATGCATTTGGGAAATTATATAACTTTTTGCCTAAAGCTCAGTTTGTTTAGAATGAAATAGATAGAAAGTGAATGAAAGAGAAAAAAATTAGGTTGTGTTTGGTTATGTTTGCCAAACACATTTCCACCCACTTTCATGAGTGTGGTGTTTGTTTTGAGTTTTCAAATTATAATTTCACACCCACTTTTGAAAATTCTTTTTCAGGTGGGAAAATTTGGTTAATTCGGTTGTCCTCCCGGACATCCCTCCGGATGTCCGGCCAGTTGACCGGAACAGTGTTCGGTTTTAATTTTTTTTTTTGACACATGTTATTTTTATATTGTAAATAAAAAATATTTTCGGAACTTTTTTTGATTTTTATATGAGTTTTGAATAGAATTTTAACTTGTGTGTTTGGCTATGTTACATGGACTCGGATACGGGTGTCGGGTGCGGGTATGTATCTAGAGGTCGGACTCATCAAATCATAAATTTAAGGATACGCGGACTCGGCAAAAAAATGTCATATTTTATATTTTTAATCTAATATATGAGATAAAATGGTATTATATTTAACTTATAGTGTCAAAATGACATTTATAGCAATTATACAACAATATGTACATATAATAATAGTGTTATATACAATTATATAAGAAGTATCCGTTGAAAAGTATCCGACACATATCTCATACCCTTGTCCGAGTGTCGGGTGTCCGACACGGGTATTTGATTTATTTTGAAGAGTCCATGTAACATAGTTGTTTGGTTATAAGTTGTAAGTTTTTGAATCAAATAACTTTTCTAATTTCAAAAACTCAAAACTCCCTTCAAAATTCAATTCAAAACTCTTTTCAAAACTCATAACGAAACAAATTTTTTACACTTAAATCATAATTCCCAAACTTATAAATTCAAAATACAACTCTATTATCAAATCATATTTAGATTTGGTTAGATTTCATTAAGAGAAAAGAAAAGAAATTATTTTATGTAATATTACCAAAATAACCTTTTTATATTTTCAATCATTTTATTTCTTTTATTTTTATAGGGACAAAATTGGTATTATGAAAATAGTGGTTTCTTTTCTCTCCCAATCTCTCCACTTTTGGGAAGATTGAAAATGAGGCTTATAAGAGAAATGAGTTTCTCTCCATTTCTCTCAATTTCTTTCCATTTCTCTCCACTAAAGTTATTCAAACAACTAAGAGAAATGCATATCTCTCCATTTCTTTTCTTTTCTCTCCAAATCACTCAATCCAAACATAGCGTAAGGCTCAATTTGTTTAGAATGAAATAGATAGAAAGTGAACGAAAGAGAAAAAAATTAGGTTGTGTTTGGTTATGTTTGCCAAGCACATTTCCACCCACTTTCATGAGTGTGGTGTTTGTTTTGAGTTTTCAAATTATAATTTCACACCCACTTTTGAAAATTCTTTTTTAGGTGGGAAAATTTGGTTAATCCGGTTGTCCTCCCGGACATCCCTCCGGATGTCCGGCCAGTTGACCGGAACAGTGTTCGGTTTTAATTTTTTTTTTGACACATGTTATTTTTATATTGTAAATAAAAAATATTTTCGGCATTTTTTTTGATTTTTATATGAGTTTTGAATAGAATTTTAAGTTGTGTATTTGGTTATAAGTTGTAAGTTTTTGAATCAAAAAACTTTTCTAATTTCAAAAACTCAAAACTCCCTTCAAAATTCAATTCAAAACTTTTTTCAAAACTCATAACGAAACAAATTTTTCACACTTAAATCATAATTCCCAAACTTATAAACTCAAAATACAACTCTATTATCAAATCATATTTAGAAAACTCCACTAAACGCTACCTTAACTTTTATGAGTTTGTTTAACTTGAAAGTGGTGGAAAGTATGAGAAAACTAATTTTCTTGTACAACCCCTATCAACATTGTAACTATTTTTTTTTTATTTCTTACAAGAAAACACAAGAAAAATTGAATGTGTGAATTATCTATAACTAAATTTTTAAATTTTTCTATCTTTTTCTTATAGATTTTTTATCTTAATCAAATACGTGCAAGAAAATATATTTTCTTTTCTATTTTTTTTCTTTTATTTCATTTTCTTTTACTTTCACTTTCTACCAAATTTTCTTTCTAATCAAACGGAACCTTATTGTTTTTATGGAGAAAGTGGTATGTTTTGATTTCTATGAAGTATAAAATGTAGGGCCTTCCTCTATGCAGGGCCTTGGGCAAGAACCTAACTTGCCTAGTGGTTGAACCACTCCTCTTAAAGGAAAAGATTCAATAAAATTAGGGGAAAATTACATCCTTAGTCATCGTAGTTTACCTCGTGTCAATTTGGCCATTGTAGTTCTAATTGCATCAATTTCACCCTTGATTTTTTCACATTGTGACATTCTTTAGAAATTGAACTGAAATCAAGGGGCAAAATAGTTCATTCACTCTCCTCAAAGTTTTGAGGGGTTGACATTCAATTCAAAATAATCAATTCCCTTTTAAATGGACCATTTTGTTCTTAATTTATGTCCAATTTCTTACCAAATGTTATCAATTGGACTAAATTGACACAATATGAAAGATTAAGTGACAAAGTTGATACAATCAAAACTACAAGGATTAATTTGAAACAAAAGGCAAATTACAAGGATCATGGGTATAAATTATCCAATAAATTATGTAGCTTTTTGAAATAGATCCTACAGAATTTGCATTTAGAACCTTAATTATTTGTAGATTGCTCACCCGTCTATAGTTTTTAGTTCTTTTGTGTATTGTACTATGGTTTTCATACTATGTGCCAACTTTGAACCTTCCATTTATTTTTAAATTGAATTTTGTGCAATTAGTTGTGCATAAAAACTAGGGCTGTGCACAGAACAGATCACCCGATGGACTTGACCAAACCTGACCCACTAAACACTGCAATGGACGGTTTCACACTTTGCAGCGGTCGGCTGCAGGACCAAAGAATTAAATAATTCGAGTTATCGGTCGGATTTCGGTTTGATTGTGCACTAAATTGCAATACCCGAACCAACTACATGTTATGATAAATTAATATATTTTACGACGTGGTATGTTTCCTGGGGAATATCATATTACACCTTTTATCTTTCCAACCCATTTTGGTCAAACTCTCTCTCTCCGATTTTGTTTTTTCTCAAACCCTAGCCCAGTAGGCACTGTTTTTGGTCTTAAGTTCATTTTTACACTTTACAATCTTTATAATTTATTATCAGCCACAGCCCATTCTTTTGCAAATTGAAATTCAAAAAAAGGAAAAATGACCACTAAGTACTATTTTGCTCTTAAGATTACTATTGAGTCCTAACAAATTTCAATATGGACAACTAAGTCCTATTTGTGATAAAAGGTTCCCAAAAGATTTATTACTCTATAATATTGTATCTTATCCCAATTTTATCATTTTTATTTAATATGAACAACAATTTTATAAATAATTTTAACTTAATTTAACAAAAATCATAAACAACAGTTGGATCGAAACAAGTATATTATAAAATATTATTCCAAATTATGATTTTTTTAAGTGTAAAAAATCTAAAAGGCTAAATTACAACGAGCTATGAAAAATAGTACTATGAAAATTTTATATATTTCTCAATGCATGAGATAGTTGATGAATCTTATACTTATGCTTTTGTTTATGAAAATTCATTTAATTTGAACAATTAAAAATAATTTAATTATAAAATTTAAATAAACTAAAATTATTTATGATTTTTTTGGTTCATATTTTATTGAGAAAGATAAAATGAAAATAAAATATACTATTATGAACAATTGAATTTTTTTATAACAATGTATAAAATTAAAAAAAATATGACTTATTTGTTAATATTGAAATTTGATATAACTCAATAGTAATTTTCAAAACGATATAAAATTTATTGATAATTTTTTCATTGTGGTTTATAATTTCTTTTAATACAATATCATAATTTTTTCAATTAAAAAATATTATTTTACTTAAATTAAAAATATTTATGAAATTCTTGTTCATATTAAATGGGGGTAAAATTGAGATAACATCCACTATTATGGAACAATAAGGCCAAGTTTGGCATCCTCAAAAAAATCCAAAAAGTCAAAAAGTCACTATCCTATTTAAGTTACATCATCTTATTTAAGTCACATCATCTTATTTAAGTCACATCACCTCTCTATCACATCATTTCAAACCCAACCCATATTTCATAAAAAGTCAAAAAAGTGCACTTATTTAGGACACCCCAAACAACCCCTAAATATTTTGAAAATATGTTATGAAAAATAAGACTTAGTTGTCCATATTGACACCTGATAGGATAGGACTCAATAGTAATCTTACGACCAAAATAGGACTTATTGATTATTTTCACTTCAAAAAAATAGCAAAGCACTTTGCTGCCGGAGATTGCTTAGATCTTCTTCATCCAGTAAGTACCTCTGATATTTGAGGCTTTAAGCGACCCTTGACCATGATCTTCTTAAAGTCCAACAAAATCCCTAAATGTAATATTAGATTATGAGATCTTGTTTCAAATTTTTTGATTTTCTTTTATTTGTGTTTACCAAATTAATAGATCTATGCTGAAGGAAAGTGATAAATTTGTTTCAAATTTTTTTTGTTTTTTTCCATTCTTGTTTACCAAATTGGTAGATCTATGAGATTCTTAGTTGCATTTGAGTTAAGGTCCAACCCGATACTCGAACCTATACTGACTGTGAAACCGAATAGCATAAGCAGACGGTTTCAAAAGGGGTTTATGTTGAAACCGGTTGACATTTTCTCCATCCGAATGTTGCCAGCCAGTGGACGGTTCAGGGGTAAACCCGACCTGACCCAAGCAAACCGTGTGCAGCCCTAAGCAAACGGTTCTGGGTTACTTAGCTGGACTTCCTTAGAGCTGTTGTGTGAATGACAAAAAATTTTCCACATGGTTGCTCATCGTTGTACTTGAAAGGTTCTAATTTCTTGATCATGCACTTTTTGAAATTAGTTTACAGATGACAATACTTGAAAACAAATTATTCATTGGGAGCTTGAAGTGCATTTTGTGATAATATATTTTTCTTAATATTGCTAGATCTTCCGGAACTTTTAATGTACAAGAACCGTTTGCAAGAGTACACTCAAAAATCATCCATACCACTCCCAGTTTATCAAACAATTAATGAAGGAGTTCAACATGAGCCGAGGTTTAGGTCCACTGTCTGGGTGGATGGAGCATCATATACATCTCATCATGTATTTTTACATCGAAAGGCTGCAGAGCAAGATGTTGCCAGGGTGGCTTTGGATGGTATAACACAGAAGATAAAAGAGGAAGGATCTCCACTTATTCGTGAGGTTTGTAGCATGCATGATTCCAATTTTCAACTTACTAAGTTAGGTTTTATTTTAATATTATCGCTTAGTGAAAGGGAGTGTTGTGTTACACAATGGTTCACTCTCATTTCAACTCACTAGTTCAAGTTTTGCTTTGTTATTTTAAAAGGATTAATTGGCTTGGTAGCTTGAGGCTTTTATGTCTTTAGAAAATGTTCTCTTTTACGGTTTTTACTTATAAGTTCTTGCCACTCAAATTTTGAATTTTGGCTTCGTTTTGATTTAGTTTTAGTTATTACCTAATTGGATTTTTTTTTAATACATTTCTTCTCTATCCCACCGAACAAGGTCTCAAAAGAATTGTGAATTATGAAATCTAGGTTCTGCCCAACCTATCACATTCTGGTTGGATAATATAGTCATCGCTGGAAGAAAATAAGAGGTCCTAGGACCCTAGGTTAATTTATGGGACCTAGTATGTCTATTTATTATTTCTTTATTCTCATGTCATCGTCTTTGATAGTCACATTATTGGAACCTTATCATTTATCTTGTTTTGATTGTTCTTTTTACATCTGATAATTCGATGAGAAATGGCTGAATCACTTTCTACATGCATATCCTCAAGTGCTAGGTTCAACTACTTGTAGGCAGAACATAGCCTTTTCGAGTGGTTTTCTTGTTTGACTTCTGATCGAAATATATTTCATAATGAGCCCTATAGAACCAAGTCATTGTTCAATTAAATTGTTGAACCTGTATGTCAATGTTTGTTGCAAGGCAAAGCATGATCCAGGATGAGTGATTAAAATTCTTACTAGCTCGACCAAATCTGATGTAGAGCAGCATTTATGGGCTATTGCAGTTGATTTTTGTGGCTGAATGGTTAGTAAATACAAGTTTTCTAAGGGCTGCAACATGATATTAAAGTGGTAAGGGTTTGGGAGTAATTAAACCGGAAATAATGAAAGTGTAGGGGCTGTTCCGGGTGAGATAAACAGTACCCTGAATGGTATCAATTTAAGGAAAATGTTCTTGCTTTACAGATTTGCCACTGCCTGACAAGGCGTTAGCCTTGAAATGTGGAGTTCATTCACTCTTACTTCAGGGTGCTTTGAGATAAAAAGGTTTGTCTACTGTAAAAAGTTTCATAATTTACTCACCTTCCCTATCCAATCATGTTGTTTCTCTATTCGCTTATTATTTATCGAAAAATTAGTTTCTTTATTCACCAAGTGGCATGGGACTTGGAGGGACATACCTATGTCCCCATTTTTTTGTTATTTTGCTGCCAATATTGCCTTGAGAACATTATTACTTATTAAGAAAAAAAAGTCTTATCAAGTTTCCTACTAGTAAGATAGAATATTTGCAAATGTTGAGATAAGTGGCTGATTGTAGTCACCTTAGAATTTTGTTGCTAAATTCTGATGTTTACAATTATACTGGCTTCTGTTTGGTTCTATGATTGTAACAAAACTTCAATTATGGTCTGTATTGCTTCTTTATTTGGATTTGTTATATTTTTTACTTGTAATAGCTCTAGGAATGAATGGAACTTGAGATGTGTAATTTTCAATGTATTGATTGGTGCTCAAGGAAGGGTTGGTGTTGGTGCTATATTTTTCAGTGGAATCAATCAGATATTTTTCATTGACTGGGGCTATATTTTTCATTTTTATGACGGTCAAGTTTCTTCGTCTTTCTTTCTTCTTTTTTAGCCACTGTTTGAATCATTTTCCTCCTTTTCTGCCTTCTCTTGTCATTTGTCCAGGATACAGTCTTCTGCAAGTCTATCCTCAATGAATATGCAGTCAAGATGCATCTGGAGAAACCCACTTATAACACAATTCGGTCAGAGGGGTTGCTTCCAGTTTTTGTATCTTCCTTGGTGTTCGATGGTGTGACTTACACTGGCGAGGCAGGCAAAAACAAGAAAGAGGCTGAACAGTTGGCAGCACGGGCTGTTATCCTGTCAATTTTGGGTATCCCTTCTCTGTCTTTGTATACAAATCATTGCTCAGAATACATAGATATATGGATTGTCTATCTGTGAGCTTGTCTTTCTCTTCGTATATGTATTTTTGAGTGGTTATGTGGGCAGTATAGTGCATACTTCTGTGTACATATTAGCTTTATATATCAGTTATTTGTTTATTTGTTTTTTGGTTCACCTAATTGATTAACTTAAACAGAATCCTGATGTAGATTGAGTAACGACAGCAGCAATAGTGTGCTTTTTGGGGGCTGATTTTAATTGGGTTTTATGGCTGAAATTGTAATAAGCATTTAGGGGTTTAAAGGGTTTAGGGTAATAAAGGGGTAAGAGTTTTGAGTACGAAAAGATGAGATTGTGGCACTATTTTTGGGGGCTGTTAAGAGGCTGTGGACAGTGATTCGCGAACAGTATTTGGACTGTGAAAGAGCTGAAATTTAACAAAGAAAGGAAAAGAAGAAGATAGTTCTAGGAATCACTCCTAGAGGCTTGGGAATCACACCTAGGGTAGGGTTGCATCACACAAACCCAAAAGAGGTTTCAAAAGCTCTGAAAATTCTATAAAATATTAACTCTATTAAATTATAAGTATTACATGACTTTATATAGAATTAGAAGACTTTCTAAACCAACTAGAATAAAAAAAAGAAATTACTAAACTACTTTGACTTCCAAAATCAATTTAAGACTGAATAAGAAATATAAATAAAAACCAATTACACAAGACAACCCATGGAAGACCCCTATAGCCCATGTAAGCAAATATCAAAATTACCTAAATATCCCTGACCTAAAAATCTTAGAAAACATGAAAATAACCATACAATAAGATTCTAATAATACTAGAAATATAATTATATAAGAATCCTATCAATTTCTCTTTGAAATTATGCCAATATCCAAATATCACTGCTTCTTTGAATTTAGCATTCTTTGAGCTTTTTATATTATGCATCAAATCCATTATGAGATATGAAGATTGCATAAAGAAGGGTTTTTTTTTTTTTTTTTTTTTTTGGGGGGGGGGGTAGGTGTCATTTAAGTAGGTCATTTTTCACAATTGTAAGTAGATGACGCAATTGGTTTACTAATTTATGCTATATAATAACGGTGGTGCTACATGCACCAATTAGTGTAATAACTAGTGTACCAACATATGTTACGGCATTATTATTGACCCCTCATTATACAAATACCAAAATCTCTTAAATTATGCCACATCATCAATTGGTACATTAGTTAGTATATTAATTGGTGCATATAACATTATTCATTTAATAAATGATCTATTATTTGAGAGCACCCTAGAGGTCCAATTACTTGTGATAAAATGACACTTCTTAGTGAAGAGCTGATGAATGATCCTAATAGAACTCTATTCTGGTTACCATGTTTTCTTCTTGATCCTTCTCACCATTTCCACTTCTCTCCTTCTGTTCCTTTTTAGCAAGAGTGCTTACTATCGAGACAATTGATTTACTAAATTACAACAAACTGCTTGCTTCCATCTCCATGAATTTTAAAAAAAAGGAAAAAGAAAAAAGAAAGAAGTGGTTAAAACAATAAAATCAACTTTAGCTTTCAGCTTTTCCAAAGCTAAATCTCTTTTCAGAAAAGCTAATTATCCGTTAACTTGAGTGTTTGTTTAGGCTGTCTAAAAAGTTAATTTCTTGTCCACTTTTGCAAAAAAAAGCTGAAAAAAAGGGAATATATATTATATCTATTTACAGCATCTCCAAAATCAAATTTTAGACCCATAAAGTTTCGTTTTTTTAAATTTTTTGGGGGCTCCCCCTAAAATCTGAAGTGGAATCTATAAGCAACTTAAAAATCTACAACCAAGTGGCTATAGGCACCTGACCCGTCCACTTTTTTTTATTTATCTATTTTTTCTTTCCTTTTTAGCCCACTCCCTGCAAAGAATTTTTTGGGTATTTCATAGAGAGCCTTCACCTAACCCCATTCCTGACTAAAGGAAGACCTTTTGTTATGTTGGAATGATCAATAAACAGTTTGAATGGTGAAGTGTGCTGGAAGAAGTTAGGAAGTTAGAGGTAGTGAGACACGTTGTAAGCGGCCATGAAACGCTTTGGACAGTTTCAAACAAATTATACCATTCTCTCTCTCTCTCTATATATCTATCTATATTATATGTATAATTAGTTATATACACATTATTCAACAAAGCGACAACATAAATGTGCCATGATGCTATCTTAATACTACTGTGGTAAGGAAGCCTTTGAAGATGTCAAAATAGTGCAATAACTCTTGCACAACATGTTTACTGAAAAATTTCTTGAGGAAAAAAGGAAGAGGGTTTAATTCTTAGAGAAGTGAATATTAATTCCCTCAACAGTGCCTCAATAGTGGGGGGAGGTAATGGTACAAGAAATCTTCTTTTTCTTTTATACTTTTTTTTTTCTTGCTTTTAAACTTTTCCCAAGACACGGAAAAATATAATAAAGTTTAATGAACTTTTTAAGTGTTTTTTTTTTTCTCCCTTTTTTGTTGCATTGGGGATGATTTACAGTAGGTGTTTACGGGAGTTTATGGGCCAGTGAGGGAGTCAAAGCGGGCTCTCTCTTGGGAAGAGTTACAGAGTATTGCTTTTCGGTGGTCGGCGCCATGGTGTGTAGGGGGTGACTTCAATGTGGTGCGTCGGCCGGAGGAGAAGGTGGGATTGGGTCCTTCAGTGGGATCAATGTTGGTTTTTCATCGTTGATTGATGACCTGGAGTTCATTGATTTGCTGATGCAAGGAGGTAGCTTCACTTCGCTTGGGGGCCGGGTGTTCTCTTGCCTTGATCGTTTTTTGATTTATGGGGATTGGGAGGAGCACTTCTCTCAGGTGGTTCAGCAAAGATTGAAGTGTCTTGTTTTAGATCATTGGCTTGTGTTGTTGGACAGTGGTGGGGTTCGGAGTGGACCAATGCCATTTCAGTTTGAAAATATGTGGTTGCAGTTAGAAGGTTTTGTGGATACAGTTTGGTCGTAGTGGGAAGGTTACTACATGATGGGAGATCCTAGTAGTAGGTTGGCTAAAAAATTAAAGCTTCTCAAGTTTGATTTACGAAGGTGGAACAAGGAGGTATTTGGTCGGTTGGAAACTTAGAAGACTATTTTGGCGGTGTTGTAGGGGTTGGATGAGAAGGAAGTTGAGGGTAGCTTGATTGAGGAGGATGTGGCGGCCCGGGAAGGGGCAAGAAAGGAGTATGGTCATGTTGTTCACGTGGAGGAGGTTGGTTATCGACAGAGATTCAGATGCTTGTGGTTGAAAGATGGGGATTGAAATGCAAAATTTTTTCACCGTATGGCGAACACTCATCGTTGGGTGAATCAGATTGGGAAGATGCGTGTTAATGGTGTGGTGTTATTGTTAGAAGAGGAGGTGAGGGATGGTATGGTGAGTTTTTATCAGCACCTATTTCGGGAGAATGAGGGACTTGCAGGCCGGGGTTGGATGGTGTTCAGTTTGATGCTATTTCAAAGGCAAATAGGCAGATGCTGGAAAGGCCATTTTTAGAGGAGGATGTTTTAGGGGCTTTGCAGAAAATGTCTGGGGACAAGGCACTAGTTCTTAATGGTTTTACTATGCTCTTCTTCCAATAGTGTTGGGGAGTGGTAAAGACAGATGTGTTGGCTATGTTTGCTCAGTTTTATCAGACAGGGTAGTTTGAGAGGAGTCTTAATGCAACTTTCATAGCTTTAATTCCAAAGAATAGAGGGGCTGAGGACATTAGGGATTTTCGACCCATCAGCTTGTTAGGAAGTGTACAAGCTTTTGGCTAATAGATTGTGGGAGGTCTTTGAGGGGGTGGTGTTAGAGTCCCATAGTGGCTTTGCAGGTGGGCGTCAGAATTTGGATGTTGTGTTGGTAGTAAATGAGTGTGTTGACTCGTGGATTCGGCAGGGGCAAGCAGGCATTATTTGCAAGTTAAATATTGAAAAGGCATATGATAATGTGAACTGGAGGTTCTTGATGTATATGCTGGAGAGAATGGGATTTGGGGAGTTGTGGAGGAGGTGGATTCAGTTTTGTATATCTACTATTGGAATGGCTGTCCTAGTAAACGGGACGCCAGCAGGATTTTTCCCGACTTATAGTGGTTTGCGGCAGGGAGATCCTTTGCCTCCATTATTGTTTATTTTGATTATGAAGGCTTTAGGGTGTTTGCTATCCAATGCGGTTTAGAGGGGTTTGTTGACGGGTTTCGAGGTGGGCATGGATCAGAATACTAGCTTGGTGGTGTTTCATTTGTTTTATGCGAATGATGCTCTCATTTTTTGTGGAGCGGAGGATGGTTAGATTGGATATTTGAGGTGTGTTCTATTATGCTTTGAGGCCGTTTCGTTGCTTCGGGTAAATCTGGGAAAGTCCGAGATGATTCCGGTTGGTTCAGTGGCACGTATATCGATATTGGCTGTGATTTTGGGGTGCAAAGTGGCAGTATTACCTACAACTTATTTGGGGTTACCTTTCGGTGCTTCGTATAAGGCGAAAGGAGTGTGGGATGGGGTGGTGGGTAGGGTGTAGTGACGTTTGGCATGCTGGAAATGGCAATATCTATCTAAAGGGGGGGCAAGTTACACTGATAAAGAGTGTCCTCTTGATCATTCCGACTTATTTCATGCTAGTTCATGTCATTCCTGTGTCTGTTGTAAAGCGGTTAGCGTATAGAGGGATTTCTTGTGGGGTGGAGGGTATGAGTCTTTTCATTACCATGTAGTAGCATGGGATCAGATTTGTTCTCCCAAGATGTTTTCTTTTTTTTTTTTTTTTTGGGGAGGGGAGGGGGGGTGTTTGGGATTCGGAGTTTGATTTCATTTAATTTGGCTCTTTTGGAGAAGTGGTTATGGTAGTTTGAGGTAGAGAGGGAGCGGTTGTGGAGGAAAGTTGGGGGAGAGGAGGGCTAAATGTGGTTTGGGATGGGGGGATTGGAGTAGTGGGGAGGTTAAACAGTCGCATGGGCAGAGTTTGTGGAAAGAAATTTGGTTGGGCCGGGACAGTGTTATCAGAGGCTAGCCTAAGCGAGGCGAGGCGAGGCTTTAGCGCTTCATGCACACTGAGGCGAGGCGAAATGGTGAGGTGATGGAGAAGCAACTGAAGCGAGGCTTAGGCGATGAAGCAGGAGGCGAAACGAAGCGACGCTTCATCATATTTTTGCCTGATTTTAGTTTGAACCATCTGGGCCCTTCATCGACTTCGTTCGAATCATCTGGGCCCTTTATTGACAAAGTTAATTACTAAATAAGAAGTCCAAACCCTAGATCGACTTCGTTCGTCGACATCTGGGTCTTCTGGGTCTTCTTCTTCCGAAGTCGAATCATCTGGGTCTTCTTCTTCCTTCTTCGGACGTCGTTCCGAGGTGAGTTCTTCTTCTTCTTCCTTTCTTCTTCTTCTTCCTTTCTCCTTTTTTCACTGTCGGACCCTCCCCCATTTCTTCCCCCCTGTTCTTCCCTTCAACTTCACCTGTTCTTCTTTGTTCATTTTTTTCTTCGACTTAAAGAACATTGTTGAACCCTGTGTTAAAATTAATTCAATTATTTTTTAAAATTAATTTTTAATTCGTAAAAAATAATTTTTAAAATTAATTCAATTATTTTAAAATTATAGTGGGGAGGTTAAACAGTCGCATGGGCAGAGTTTGTGGAAAGAAATTTGGTTGGGCCGGGACAGTGTTATCAGAGGCTAGCCTAAGCGCTAAGCGAGGCGAGGCGAGGCGAGGCTTTAGCGCTTCATGCACACTGAGGCGAGGCGAAATGGTGAGGCGATGGAGAAGCAACTGAAGCGAGGCTTAGGCGATGAAGCGGGAGGCGAAACGAAGCGACGCTTCATCATATTTTTGCCTGATTTTAGTTTGAACCATCTGGGCCCTTCATCGACTTCGTTCGAATCATCTAGGCCCTTCATAAACAAAGTTAATTACTAAATAAGAAGTCCAAACCCTAGATCGACTTCGTTTGTCGACATCTGGGTCTTCTGGGTCTTCTTCTTCCGAAGTCGAATCATCTGGGTCTTCTTCATCCTTCTTCGGACGTCGTTCTGAGGTGAGTTCCTTCTTCCTTTCTTCTTCTTCCTTTCTCTTTTGTTCACTATCGGAACCCCCTCCCCCCCCTTTCTTTCCCCCTGTTCTTCCCTTCGACTTCACATGTTCTTCTTTGTTCATTTTTTTCTTCGACTTGAAGAACACAGTCGAACCCTGTGTTAAAATTAATTCAATTATTTTTTAAAATTAATTCAATTATTTTATCTTTAATTTTTTTTCAATTAATTTAATTATTTTTTTTCTTCTGTGTTAAAATTTCAATTAATTCAATTAATTTCCTGGTTATTCAATTAATTATTTTAATTCAATTAATTATGGTTATTCAATTAATTTGTTTAATTCAATTAATTTGTTTATTTTAATTCAATTAATTTCCTAGTTATTTTAATTTCTTGGTTATTCAATTAATTATTTTAATTCAATTAATTTGTTTAATTCAATTAAATTGTTTATTTTAATTCAATTAATTTAATTCAATTAATTTCCTGGTTATTCAATTAATTATTTTAATTCAAGTAATTCAATTAATTTCAACTGTTTTAATTTCTTTATGTTCTTTAATGTTGTTAAAATATGTTCTTTAATTTCTTTATGCTGAAACATTGAATTGCTTGTTGGATAGTATTTGGAATGATAACTGCATGATGGTTCTTGAAAATATTTATATTTTTGTCTATGCTATTTATTTAAAAAAATATTCTTTCTGGTCGCCTCGATTCGATGAAGCCCTCGCCTCGCCTCGCCTCGTCGCCTCGCGCTTAGGCGTTAGGAGACCTTGTCGCCTCGGTTCGCTTTTCGCCTTTAAAAACACTGGGCCGGGAGGAGTTTTGGAAGAGAGTTTGTTTTAGGGTAGGGATGGGGGATAGGGTTCGTTTTTGGAGGGACAAGTGGTGTGGAGAGATGGCATTGGAGGTGATGTTCCCGTTGATTTTCTATATTGTGATTGATCGGGAGGCAACGGTGGCTTCTTATGCTCAGGTGCAAGGCCATGGTGGTGTGGAATGTTAGGTTGCGTCGTGAAGTGCAGGATTGGGAGGTGGGCTAGTTACTGGATTTGTTGGGCTTTTTGTACGGCCTTTGGTTTGGAGGGGTTGGGGAGGATTCTTTGAGATGGGATTGCCTGAAGTCCAAATGGGTATTTTCTGTGTCTTCTTTTTACCATATGCTTATGGGAAGGGATGGGATGTCGTTCCCATAGAAGAGTGTTTGGGTGGTGGGTTGTCCATCCAAAGTCGCTTTCTTTGTGTGGACAGCAACATTAAGGCGTATTTTGATGATTGATAATTTGATTCGTCGTGGGCATATTTTAGTGAACTGGTGTTGCATGTGTTGTGGGGATGCAGAGACGGTGGATCACTTGCTTATTTGTTGTTTGGTTGCTTTACACCTTTGGATGTTTATTGTTGCTATCTTCGGTTTGGCTTGGGTTCAACCATGGACAGTGAGGGTAGTGTTACAAAGTTGGGCAGGGAGAAGGGTTGCGAAGAGACATCAGAAGGTATGGAAGATGGCTGGCCATTGTCTGATGTGGCTAGTTTGGTTGGAGCACAATAGGCGAGTGTTTTGGGAGGAGATGCGTTCAGTGTCATGGTTGGAGTGGTGTTTGTTCATTGTGCTGCATAGTTGGATATCGTTGACAGTGGACCTGATGTTTTGACTTTTGTTGATTTTGTAGAGGATTTGATTCAGTAGCTGTTTTGTTTGCTCTGTGTCTTGCTGTTTAGTGCTGTCTTGGCTTATGTTTGCTGCTAGCTGTTAGGTTTGTTTTTGTATCCTTTGCATCGTCTTGATGCTTTTTCAATAAAGTTTGCTTATTTATCAAAAAATAAAATAAAATTTGGGGGAAACTGAATCTCATCTAATGGAGTTAATGGGGAGCTTCAGGAAACTGGCATAATTCTAATCTGTGAGAAGTACAAGGGTATGAGCAAGTGTTACTTCACTCATTGGTATATCAGCACTTGACTCCTTTATGTTTGTGAGTGGATACATGGAAATTTGTTACTCCTGCATAGACATTTGACTGGTCCACTTGCTGCTGCTTTTTTTTTCCCCTGCGTAGAATAGACTACATACATGATACATTTATTGGTATTTGCTTATATTTGTTAATTTTCTTTTATTTTCTTTTCTTTTGTTTTGGGTGAGAAGGGTGTGCATAACTAAACTGAAGTTTTTAGGGCATGATTGGAAAGTGTGTCACTTCCCTGGAGATAGGCCAACATATTCTCTTTTCATGTAAGTCGATATAGTCCAAGTTGTGTGATTGACTTGCTGACACTATTGTGCAGGTACTTCCGACTCAAGAACTGTCATCACTGAGATCATCAAGTCTAAAGTCAAGCTTTATGCTGCGTTGCATAAAGTTGACTCCACCCAGAGTGGCATTAATCCTGTGGCAGTGAGCACAGCAGGAACTAGTTTAGCCATTCCTGTGAATAAGGGGAAAGATATTGAAGTTTCTGGGTATATCAGTAACACGCCAAACACTGCAATTCCATACCCTTGGTCGGGCCAACTCAACATTATTCCGGCAACTCACCAGCCTTACATTCCAGCAACGCACCAGCCTTATGTGCCAACAGCTCACCAGCCTTTCCATGAATTCAAGAAACCTAAATTTGAACCATCATCTGAGGCAATTACAATTACACCTCCTATTGTTTTTGTGCCTCCAGCACTCGGACAACCCCTGGCTGTTGGTTCAAGTTCTACAAGAAAACGACGCAAGAAGAAGGCTAAAAAGAAATCTCGGGTTGATGCTCAGTGAGTAATGTACCTTATTGATCAAAACAAATTTTTTTTTTACCAATGTCATTATTTCGGTTTATGACCCTCTGGTATGATGTTCCAACTTACATTTGTGCTTTTGAGTTTCATTGTGTCATGTTTAGCAACTTCTGTGACCCCTGCTGCATCTTCTGTGCTCATTTGCATATGGTTTCATAATTGTGCTCTGTTTGTTTGGGCAAAACATTTTTTAGCATTTGGTATGATGGAAAATGTTTTCGATGACGGGAAGCAAGCTTATTTGGGCGGAAACTGTTTTTCATTTTTGAAAGAATAACGTTTTCTGGACTAAAGACTTGCCAATGTCACCACACCACCACTAACACCATCCTACACCATACCACCCCACCCCCACACCTCCACCTCTGCCACTGCGACTGCCTCCACCACCTATTCCACCACCACTACCTCCGCCATCTCCACCAGCACTAGTACATTAGTTTTAAGGATGCAACCAAACATAGGAAAAATATTCAGTTGAAACAAATGGAGCATTAGTTTTTGCACTACTGTATGAGATTGCTTTGATTTCTTGGTTATTTCTGGTCATTTCTTAAATAAACTTTAATGAAGATTGTTTTTTTATTTTGCTTAATTGAGATCTGTTTATATATATGTATATATAATTTTGCTTTATTGAGTTTCATTCTTTCTGATTATGCAGGTTGCCTGTTGCTGTGGTGCCTTCAAGTCAAATTCCTTCTTATTCAGTTGCCCAATGAGTAGCTCAAATGTCTGTATTTTTTTGGTAGGCAAAACGAAACAATCTCATTTTTGTTTCTGGATGTCCAACGCTCTCCTAACAAAATGATGTTATGATCCAACAACATTCTCTATATTGCATTGTTGACTGTCCTGATTGAGTTTCCCCTAGTTTTCCACACACCACTAAGACATGAATGTATAAAATATATTCTCTTTCCTGGGTGCTTCGTGTAGTCTGGTCGAATTAATCGTCACTCTTTCTGGAAAACTTTGCAGGTTTCATGTTGCTGTGCTGTTGCTTTTAATGAAGCCCATCCCTTGTTCAATATTCTAGTGAGAAGGTCATTCCATTTTTGTATTTACTTGTTGGGTATGTATCAAGCCTCCTTTCTCTTGTTGGATGTTGAACTTTTTTTCCCTGTAATATATCTGATATTTGGGACACATCTTACATTATCGATTAATGTGTTGTAGTTTTAGGCCATGTTTGTCGGGATTGGATTGGAGGAGGGGGGATACAAATCCCTGGATTGTCCCTGGACTAATAGTTCCTCTTAGTGTTTGGAAATACAAATCACTGGTCTGAATTAATGCTTGAACTACGGGCCACTGTGGGATTGGATTGGAATCATTCGATAATCTAACAAAATTCTACAAAACTGCCCTCAAATTCATGCAATTCTAATATTAATTTTTAGAACTGGATTGATAGCCTAGGACAGCCCCGGGATAGAATGTATTGATTGTTGCAGTATGTGTATGTATATATGTATGTAATTGGTCAGAGATTAATTGTATGTAATCTGCTGGAGATTAATTGATTGCATTGTTGTATATATACATACATATTTTTATGACTTTGAAGGAGAGGAATGGAGGTAAAGAGAGTGGTTGGCGGCAAAGGTGAAGGAGAGAGATTGAAAGGAAAAAGAGAAATGAATCTCACCCCTCCCATGGTTTTTTGGGTTATTCCTAGTAGGGGATTAAGATCACTGATGTAAACTGTGACAGTCCCTGCTTAATTGTATGATTTCATATTATACCAAATGAAAAATCTCTTTCTAAAGGAAAAGGAAGAAACAAAAATTTACTTCATTCACTTTTTGCATTTCAATTTTTTTTTTTTTAAATTCAATATCTAAACACAATTCTAAGGTTTAATGCGATTGTGAATGAGAATACAATATCAAGCATGATATTTAACAATCCGTTTGGTAGTACTTGGAAGTTCAATTAAATTTTTTTTTTTGCGTCGAAGGCATGTTTGGTTCATAAATTTGGATGGTAATTTGAAAAGAAGAAAGGAAAAGATATGTGAAATATATTTATATTTCATTTACATTTTATCCAAGTCTGTCATTTCTTTTTTCAAATTTTTATTCAAATTCATAAATCAAATGTAACCTAAAAAGAGTTGACTAATGGTGTTTTGTTAGAATTTTAAATTATAATTTATTTGATTTTTTTAGCTTATCTGACCCAAGGAAGTGAGTTTTTTTTTTTATTTTTTCATCAAACTGTATGGAGAAAAGACTCATAATTTTCATGTTTTAATTAAAATTTTTGAGAGTATGTATGATGTTTGCACAACAAAAAAAAGTTACTTGATAGTTTATTTAACCAAATAGATTCAGGCTCGTTTGGGGAAAAAAATTATTTTAGTAACTTTTTGATTTTTTATGTTTTTTTTTTTTTGCGTCGAAGGCATGTTTGGTTTATAAATTTGGATGGTAATTTGAAAAGAAGAAAGGAAAAGATATGTGAAATATATTTATATTTCATTTACATTTTATCCAAGTCTTGTCATTTTTTTTTTCAAATTTTTATTCAAATTCATAAATCAAATGTAACCTAAAAAGAGTTGACTAATGGTGTTTTGTTAGAATTTTAAATTATAATTTATTTGATTTTTTTAGCTTATCTGACCCAAGGAAGTGAGTTTTTTTTTTTATTTTTTCATCAAACTGTATGGAGAAAAGACTCATAATTTTCATGTTTTAATTAAAATTTTTGAGAGTATGTATGATGTTTGCACAACAAAAAAAAGTTACTTGATAGTTTATTTAACCAAATAGATTCAGGCTCGTTTGGGAAAAAAATTATTTTAGTAACTTTTTGATTTTTTATGAAAAGATGTGCAGAAAAGTAGAGAGTGATGTGATAATTTGTAGTGATTTTTTGACTTTTTAGTTAAAATAGTTACTCTCCAAATGAAGTTTCAATATTTTCATAAATTATCAAAACTTGTACTAAATAGATTTATAATTTATTTTAAATATTTTGCACTAATAATCTAAGATGGTTTAACCGTAAAAACTAATTTACAAGTAATTCTAAACGGCACAACATTACTAATCAAAATTGGAAAGAACAAAGGTGCTTAAAATACCAAAACCACACAAATTATTTATTTGTGTTTGCTCTGTTTTAGCAACTTTAAGTGGTGGCCCATTTGTAGATGAAAATGGAGTAGCAAGGAAGGTCAACTTTCTCATAAGCCTTTCATATGCAGATAGCCTGGCCAAATTACGACTTTTTTTCAATTGAACTTCTATTTCCATGTGCATGCTTACTTACACATATGAGAGAGAGAGAGAGAGAGAGAGAGAGATTTGGGGGAAACAATATTTGTTTTCAACTTTGGATATTATGATAAATGGTGATTAGAACTTTAAATTAAACTTGCCACATGACTCACTAGGGCGGTTAGCAACGCGGTACAAGACAGCAATTTTCAAGTGATTAGGAATAATTAATGTTCTCTATCTTTAAATAAAATAAATTATTTTATACTCAAAGATAAGGGATAATAAGTTAACAAGGCATTTAAGTGAACATGGAGTTTGTGAGATTATGATCTGTGTTGTGACAAGGCCATAAGCAAATTTAAAGACCAACACATATCTCCTTGAGACAAGGAATTGCTATTTCTTCGATCCACTGCTAGCTTTGATTTTTCCCACTTCCACTTCCACTTTCTTTTTTTATTTTCTTTTCTTTTCTAGAAAACCAAACATGTGGTTGACGATCTTCATCGGGTTTTGAAAGATGTTCTTAACTGTCATCATCGATGAGCAGCCATAATTTTTTAAATTCATGTTATTCATTGCATATTAATTAGGAGTTGATATTATGATTTCTTTAATTAATTATTTTAAATTTGAGTAGTCTAAACTCAGTATAGTTCTGTAAACCTCTATTCAATTATTTATTTTTCTACTTCATTCTATACAAGTCACCTAATTAGATGGTTGTAATTGATTTTATGTTAGAAATCAAATCTTGCTATAAAAACAGTGAAATAAAACGGTGATGAATTGGTGAAATATAACACTTGTCATTGAATTTCCAAACCATGAATTTATTTATTTAATTTTTTTTTGACATCCCAAACCATTTTATCTAATACCATACTACAAGACAATCAAAATAGAATAATTAAATGTTAAAAAGGTCAAACTATCTATGCTAACCCACCATCTATATTCTACAGGGAATGTAAGATGAATTTTAAAAAAAAAGGTGCATTAGTCCACGTGTCTGAAGCGAAGAGAAGAGAAGGAAAGTAAAGGAGATAGCTAGGAAGGTCCTTGGAATGAAAAATAATAATAAAAATGGTTCGCTGAAAGTGAGACTAAAAACTAAGAAAGGGAGAGAGAATCTGAAACGTGGGATGGCTAAAGATCCGCCGAGGGTTTTGCTGCTTTGTCCTCTTTCTCTTCTTCTTCTACATCTCTCTCTAAGCTCATCTTCTTCTTCTTCACTCTCTAATCTCTATTCAATTCATCTCTGCCAGCTAACAATCCCCATGCATATATAAACAATGTATTTCAGGTCCCTTACTTCTATATATATAGATATATAATCATTAGAAAAAATAAATCAAATTACTCAAGTTTAATTATGTTTGGATTCAACTCGTTACATAAATAAATCAAATTTAAATACCGTGAGTGCTAATTTTTAATTTTTAATCTCACAACTAAACAGATCTCTTACCAAGATTTAGAGAACTTAACTGGAGAACATGCGGTAGAATAGATTAAACTAAACGCCTACCAACAAATAGATAAGCAGGCGGAATAGATTAAATCAAGCACTTAAAAACAAGTAGATAAGAATATTACGGTGACTCGTCCACCCGAGACACTCCGATGATCAAGTTAGTAACTTATCTCACAATATATTATCAATTCAAATCAAGAGCTCACAAAATAAATCACATACACAAATCAAGAGCTTACATAATAAATCACACACCTTAGATCCATAGGATGCCTTATTTTTTTATAATGAGCAGTATCCAACTTTCTCTAGAAATCACATACCTTAGACCCATGGGGTGAACTTCTCCTAAAAGTCTTACTTCATAAGATTCTATCATTTACAAAGATAACATTTAAGACTCTAGAGTACCATCTCTATCCAAATAGACTAGAGTATCATCGCTATCCAAATAGGTAGCTTGATGTCATTTAGACTCTAATCCCTCATTCAAACATCTTGCATTTAGATGTGGTTTGACCACACCTCGACCAATCATAATCATCATCGTGGCACTTCGGCTAACCACCTAGACCACGTGGACAACTCAAAATTATATCCTCACAAATATATTTTGCAATTCGTTAATTTTTTAAATTATATTTGTATTCAACTCGATAACAAACTAAATTATTTTATATTTCAATTACAGCTCTTTGAGATTGACTAAAAAATTTGACAAACTTTGGAATATCCTAAATAAGTGTACTTTTTGATTTTTTATAAAAAGATGTGTAGAAAAGTAGAGAGGAAATAATGATTGATGTGATCCAAAAAAGATAAAAAGATGGGCTAAAATAGGTTATGCCAAACAAGGCTTAAATTTTGATATATTTTGAAAAAATATTAAGGTTGTGCTTGGTATAGCTTTGAAATTATAATTCCACCCCTACATTCCAATCTATATTTGGTTGAAGTTTTTAAAAATTAATTCTAACCCCACATTTGAAAATACATTCCATGTTTGGTAGTGTGAGTTTTTGATTTTTGAATTTGCGCTTTGGGTCATCCACCGGACATTCCCCCGGATGTCCGGCCGGTTGACTGGAATAATACTTTTTTTTTTTTTTGCAATATCCAATCACCACCTATTATTTGGGAAAAAAAATATATTTGTTTTTGATATTTTTTAAATATAAAAATTATTTTTTTAGACCAAAATAACAAATTATTTTTTTGAATTGAATATTAAAACGAGTTTGGTTATAAATTTTGAATAAAATTTTCAATAGTATTTTGAGTTGTGTGTTTTGTTATGAATTATAAGTTTTTAAACTAAGTTTTCAAAACTCTATTCAAAATTATAATTAAACAAATTTTTTCTTTTTAAATCATAATTCTAAAATTCACAAATTTAAAATATAACTTTATTTTCAAATCATAATTTTAAAATTCTATCAAACGCTATCTAAATTTTCAAACTCAACCGAAACAAGCTATACTACTCAACTTGCCTTGGGCTAGTTTACGATCCTACCATCACATTTCTTACTCCATTTCATCTACCTGCGTAAAAACACTAAGGGCAAATTACATATACACCCCTCCAGGTTTGGTTAAATTACAGATACCCCCCTGAGGTTTCGGAAATTACATCCCGCCCCCTGAGGTTTGTATTTTCATAACAATTTACCCCCTGAGGTTTATATTTCATAACAAATTACCCCCTAATTTCTTATGCAAATATAGCATTTAGGGGGGAATTCGTAATTTCTCAAACCTCAGGGGGTATCTGTAATTTTGTCAAACCTGGAGGGGTGTATATGTAATTTGCCCAAAAACTAATTATAGATTTGGTTACATCCGCTCATACGTGGCGAGATCCCAAAAAAAATTGAAATTCATCTCATATATGAGAAAATTGTATATATTCGATTCACTGTTTGATTTTTGTGTTTCTAATTTTTTTTTTTTCTGAATCCCCTAACAATTGGGATCTTTCCCTATTCTTTCTTTCCTTTTTCTTTTTTTCATTTTTGGTTTTTGTTAAATCCTATAGGGTATATTCTCATATCTACTTCCTTTTAGTTAAAAAAATATACCAGTGAACCCAATCCCCATTAATATAAGAAACCATAGTTTTCGAACCCTACAAATAGGCCTTCCTCATCACTTACCTTTCTCCACAATATTCTTGACTGGTTGAGCTACTCTTTACAACCTCCAACTCTCTCTCTCTCCTCTCACTTTCTTTCCCTCCATGGCCCTTGCCAAGGACCCAAAGCCCTCACAGATGGGCTTGGTTCAATCCTCTACATACTATAACAACGTGTTTGGAATTCCATCATCATCAATTCAACCTTCCAACCAATCCTCACCGGAGCTCTACGTCTTCGATGACCACCACAAGGCACCACCACCGCCGATGAGTCGGTCATCATCCCTTTCCAGCTCTAACGGGTACGCCACTGCGTATCAGCCCGCAGAAACTCACTCTGTGATCGACTTCAAAACTTCAGGGATCAACAGTTTCATGCACAATAACAACAGTGGATCTTTTCTTAGTTTCGAGCAAAATGATCAACAAGATGATTACTCAATCTGGGAAGACAATCTCATTCATGGTTACCGTCATGATCATCAGCGGCTGTCGCAAGATTTCAACTGTGTTCAATCTGCCAGCACTTATGGAGGGATGGGAAGTGCTTTGAAAGAAAACCCACATGGAGGAGAGACATTTGGGTGGCCGGAGTCGGAAGCAAATGCAAATGCGACCATTAATGGAACCATTCAAGAGGTTGGAGCACAAGAAACTTGCTTCAATAAGCGTCCCCATGCGGTATTTTTCTTTCCTTATTCACCTCAAAATTTAGCCTAAATTGCATCCCAAACAATCCCTAAATATTTAATTAAACCCCCAAAAAAAAAATATGAGTCTCATAAATTTAACACAAATTAATTGAGTTTTTTTTTTCTTAATATTCTAAAAAAAAAAAAAAAAAAAAAAAAAATTTACAGAATGATATAACAAGGCCTGTCAAACTGGCATAGTGGCTTAAAATTTTAAAATGTTATTATGTCATTCTGGTCATAAATTCCATATAAGCTTTTCCTTGATTCATTGGGATGCATTATGACAGGGTGAGAGCATGCAAGCTCTAAAGAGGCAGTGCAGTGGCAGTGCAACAAGGAAGGCCAAACCAAAGTCAACTCCATCCAAGGACCCTCAAAGTATTGCAGCCAAGGTTTGCTTCTTCTTGAAGTTTTTAACTTAATTATTTAGACGTTGTTGATAAAGCTTGATTGCTAATTAAGTAAGATCAACAATGGAATTTTAGTATTAATGAGGGAATGTTTGTGTTTGCAGAATCGACGGGAAAGGATTAGTGAGAGGCTAAAGGTACTGCAGGAACTTGTTCCCAATGGCTCCAAGGTATAGGTTAATTTCATGATTATTGGTTTAAATTACTTGGGTTTTATTTTTATTAGTGTATATATGGTTTATTACAATGAAAACCAATTACGATTACAATGAAAATTAAATACAACATATAATTAATTCAAAAAAACTCGCCAAATGAGAGAGGAAAATCTCAAATAGACAACCCTGTTGATTTATTACTTGGAAAATAAGATTGAAGTTTGTTCATATGATTACTTTGCAGGTTGATTTGGTTACAATGTTAGAGAAGGCCATAAGTTATGTGAAGTTTCTTCAATTACAAGTGAAGGTGTGGATTCAAATCAGAAATTTTTTTTTTCCTGAATTAAGATTTTCATGATCACCAGATTTTGATTTTGATTATCACAAAAATCGTAATTATGTGAACTTCAACTTTTTTTGGTTACTTATAATTTAATTTGATTTTATGGGGTAGGTGCTGGCAACCGATGAATTTTGGCCGGTGCAAGGCGGAAAAGCTCCTGATATTTCTCAAGTGAAGGAAGCCATTGATGCCATCCTCTCAACTCAAAAGGACAGAAACTCAAGATCAAAGTGATTCTTGCAGAATCCAACTTCTCAAATAGAGCTATAGATATAATCAAAAAATAAAAAAAAAACCCCTAGGGGCAAAGTGTGATGAAAAATCTATCCTTTGGAAGTTAGTAAGGCTGGGAGGACAAAATAGATAAAATGTATCTGAAAAGAATGTTAATTGTCGTCTGAGTGAGATGCAATGAGAGCTGAGATTTCAACCTTGTCCCACTTCCATTCTCAAGATATATATATATATATATTTTTTTTTTCAATTTTTTTTTAATGGAACTTTTAATGTTATGTTAAGATATGAAGGAAGGTTGTATCACTAGCTTAAAGCTGACCAAATAATTGAAGTTCTTGTTCATTCATCATGGATTCTTTATTGCCATTTCTTTCTTTCTTCTTCTTCTTCTTTTCTTTTTTTTTAAGTTGGTGTGTGAGTGTGGTTTTTTCTTTCCTACGGAATTTCACTTGTATGTATGCTATATCAAATTGTACATTCAGGGCATGTTTGATTGGATGGATTAGAGTATGGGATTGAGATTACTAATCCGTGGGTCCAATTATCCTATATTTGTTTTAACATTTTGGTTTAGGATTATTAATCCAATGGATAATTAATCTAACAAATTTGTAGGATTATTAGTAATGGGGTAGGGGTGAGATTATTAATCCAATGGATATTAATCCAATTGGATAGTGAATACTACACTAATTTAATAGGATTATTAATACTTCACTATTAGTCTTGTAAATCAAACATGATCACAGGGTCCAATTATCTATAGTTGAAACCAAGTAGCAATTCAGACAACTGCAAACAAAGAATGAATTTTTAAAGGAAAATATGGTTGTTTGCAACTTTATGAATCCAAAAAGAAAAAATTAGAAAACTGTCCATAATTTGTAATCAAAGTTCAAGATTTATTTGTAGTGTGGGTCTAACAATAACAATTTTAAATATAAACGGTAGACTTTTTTTTTTTTTTTTTTTTTTTTTTTTTTTTATCGGGCAAACAAGCAGAGAACAACTACATAGAATTGGAAGATAAGCACCTAACAAGTCCCATAGGTGGTTGGGCAACCCAATTAGGGGTTAAAACATTTCGAAAAAAAGCCGAAGCAACCCAGTGGGCAGCCCTATTGCTGTTTCTAGGACACTATCGAAAGACCCATTGCCTGTTCGAGGCCATCGATCTTACATCACTTAGCACAACAAGAAATTCCCACGGGGGGACCCTTTCTGAGACACAGAGGTGAATAACGGGTTTGCAGTCACTTTCGAACTCTACTGCAACAAGATTGAGAGCAATGGCCATAAGACACGCTTGGCGAATTGCCAATAATTTGCCTTGAGCAACTGACCTCACTCTTACCTTACACACAACTCCATCCACCAGAACGCCCAAATGGTCCCGAAGTAGAGCTGCTACCGCTCTAGTGTTTTGTTTCAAATCAACGGCTGCATCGCAATTAGTTTTCCACTTACCTCTAACAGGAGGAACCCACACAGCTCCTTTGCTGTTCACCCCCATGGCCACAGTCGAGGGTGTTAAGGGCACTTGGCAGGAGGCCAAGAATTCAGATTCATCACGCTTTGCCTTCTCTATCACTACTGTAGGATCAACCAGACAATGATTGAATAGATGATCATTTTGACCTTTCCAAATGGTCCAAACAACCCAAATCATAAAGCAAATCACGGACTTACCCCAGCTAGAAGCACCTAGAGATTCAAAGCATTTCCTAAAACAATCTCGAGCCGAAGAACTGTCAAGAGCATCACATCTTAGACCAAGATCACACCTAAGCCAAACTCTTTTTGACCATTCACATTCAAACAAAAGATGCTCAATAGACTCAGACGCTTGCAAACACACAGGGCAGCATGCCGAATGTGCACACCGTTTGTTATAAAGGTTCTGCGATGTGGCCAGAGCATTATGATAAATTTTCCAAACGAAATGCTTGAGTTTTGGGGGTAAGTTCAGACTCCAAACAATCAGCTAATCTTTCTGAGACCAAACCATAGAAGAAGATGGTAGATTTGAGCCCAAGTGCGCTTATTTCACTGCTTCTTGGTACCTCGACTTAACCGTATAACAACCCTTGGAGTCATGGTGCCAAAGAAGAATATCGTCTTTATCATCGACTGAAACTGGGATTGAGAGAATAGCATCGCAATCCGATGCAGACACAAGGCTTCTAAGCTTCCAAGCATCCCAGGACTTGCAAGAAAAGTTAATCACCTCATTCACCTTTTGCACCGAAACCCCACTATTCCTCATTGATTGAACACGAAAGCTCGGATTAGAAGGGATCCACTGGTCATCCTAGAAGTTGATAGATTTGCCATTCAAAACCTGCCACCGTAAACCCTTTGTGAGAATATTTCTTCCCTGAAGTAAGCTAAGCCAAGCCCATGAAGGTTGCGCCCCTTGCGTGGTATGACAAAAATCCGAATTGGGATAATAAATGCCTTTGATCATTTTAGCAAATAATGAATCTGGAAATTTAATAAGTCTCCAGCCTTGACGAGCAAGAAGAGCTCGATTAAAAGCCCGAAAGTCTTGAAAGCCCAAGCCACCATTTCTTTTCGTCAAGTACAATTTATGCCAACTGGCCCAATGAATACCTTGCCCCTCTGGATCACCTTTCCACTAGAAGTTCCTAATGTAGGAGCTCAGTTTATCACACAGTTTGTTAGGAAACAAGAAACATGCCATGGCATAAGTGGGCATTGCCTGGGCAACTGATTTAAATAGGACTTCCGGGCCTGCGTGTGATAGTAATTTCGCCTTCCAACCTTGCAATTTAGACAACACTTTCTCGCACAAAAAATTAAAAGCTTCAGCCTTAGAACGACCCCAACACGATGGCAAGCCCAAATATCTGGTAGAAGCTTGCATCTGAGGAATAACGAGCAAATCACACACCTCCATCCGACGGGACCTTGAGACATTGCTGGAAAATTGCACTCCCGACTTGTCAAAGTTAACCGACTGGCCCGAAGCTTGACCATATACTTGGAGTAGATTGCAAATTTCACGACACTCCGCTCTGTTGGCCTTGACAAAAAGTACCGCATCATCCGCAAAGAACAAATGAGTTAACGTTGGACAGCCCCTCCGGATCCATAGCCCAGTCAATCTCCTATTTTGAGCACTACGATCGATCAATTTCGAAAGCACATCCATGACAAGTATAAACAAATAAGGAGATAGAGGGTCCCCTTGACGAAGACCCCTCATAGGTTTAAAGCTAGTCCGCTTGGCCCCATTAACGAACACGGAAAAGGAGACCGTAGAGACACATTCCATCACCCATTGAACCCATTGAGAGCGAAAGCCCATCTTAGTCAACATGGCCCTGAGCAAGCTCCAATCCACACAATCGTAAGCTTTGTTGAAATCAACCTTAATCGCCACATCTTCCACCTTCCCTTTGCGAATTTTCATTGCATGGAAAGCCTCATGTGCCACAATAATGTTGTCTTGGATCAGCCATCCAGCCACAAAGGCCGACTGATTTTGCGAAACCACATCACTTAGAATCCCTTTCAGCCGGTTTGCAAGAATCTTGGTGATCATTTTCATGTTGAAGTTGCATAAGCTGATTGGCCTAAATTGCGATAGTTTTTTTGGGGTTGCCACTTTGAGAATAAGAATCAAGTTCGTATGATTGAGCTCTTTCAACAAAAAACCCCCCCGAAAGAAGCTTTTCACTGCAGAGCACAAAGATGGCCCCACAATATCCCAATGATGGTGATCGAAGTACTCGGGAAATCCATCCGGTTTGGGAGCTTTCAAAGATCCAAGTTGAAAAGCGGTTGTTTTAATCTCCTCATCCGACACATTTCGAATCAACAACATGTTCATGTCATTCGAGATAACTCTGTGCACTACATCAAAAGCTGCAGTCATATCACCTCTATCACTAACTGAAAAGAGAGTTGAGAAATAATTGAACAAGTGAGAATTAATGTCTGACTCCGACGTCAGCAGTCTGCCATCATCACATTTTAGTTGCAAAATCTGGTTTCTTTGGCGTCGCTGATTAAGTGTAGCATGAAAGAATGCAGAATTTCGATCTCTAAAGCTGAGCCAGCGCACTCGGGAGCGTTGATGTAAATACATCTCTTCCCTCTTCATGGCCATATCTAACTCTTGGGACAAAAACTTGTATTGTGCTGCATTGGCCGTAGTGCAAGGGTGACTTTGAAGTTGAGCAATCTGTCACCTAAGCTTCTCAGTGGTCGTTCTTCCATTACCAAATTCCTTAGCATTCCAGGTCCACAAACTCCGTTGACTCCTCTTTAATTTTTGAACAAGTTTAAACATCTGAGAGCCCGCTTGATCTTGGTCCCACTTTGATTGAATAGTAGCCGCACAATTTGGACTTGTGGTCCACAATGTTTCAAATTTAAATTGTTTTGGCACCCGAGCAAGAGGGACACAACAGTTAATGATCAAGGGACAATGATCCGAACCGAAACAAATTTCATGAAAAACCTGGGCGTATGGAAAGAGGTCCCTCCAATCCACCGTCGCCAAAGCCCGGTCCAATCTTTCTCGAATATTAGCCTCGCCCCCTGGTTATTGGACCAAGTGAAAGCATTCCCCTTGAAACCCAAATCAGTCAGATTACAGTCCGATACTATCTCTTGAAACTCACTAAGATGAGAGGAGTGACATGCCCTGCCTCCTTACTTTTCCAAAATAGAACCCACTTGGTTGAAGTCACCAACACATAGCCATGGATAATGCAGCTCCCGAGCCATATCACATAAATAATGCCAAAACGCCCTCCTCTCCTGTCTACAAGGAGGGGCGTAAATAAATGAGGCAGCCTAACTCCATCCTGTATTTGCTGAAACAGTACATTGCAAAATGTTTTGTGATTTAGACCGGACATCCATCACAACCCCATCCATCCACCAAAGAGCAAGTCCTCCAGAGGTGCTGATGGGATCAATATAACAACTATTCTGAAAATTAAGGCTTCACCTAATCCGTTCCAGCTTAGCTCTCTTATTCTTTATCTCTATTAAAAAGATCACCGCAGGCTGATGG